CCCCTCCCCCCTTTACTGTAGATGTATCGTTGAACCAAAATTGGACGCCCTCTTTTAGGACCCTGGCTAAAAGCCTGCTCATGAGCCGGACAACCTGTAAACTAACTATCCGTTCTCCATGGAGGTATTAACAAAGCACCAAGTTTCTTTTACAAAAAGTGAATTACCTTTGCTTTATCGGAATCAAGATCTTTGCCAATGGTGAACAGCAACTTGCACATGCTTTCCAAACTTTCTTCGTCGCCAGCACGAAGCAGTTTAAATATACAGTCATGCATAATGTTCTCTGTTAACAACTGAAATATAAAAATAATACACTTTCCAGTGTTGCTACAGGAGGAAACAAAACTAAACTAACTTTATTTTCCCTAGGTATTTCAATCAGGTCAATCCTTACTGCCCAGACCCCAGTAATAACATCTCCTTACTGCTCCAGACCCCACTATAACTGTTCTGCATAGAGGTTACAGCGCTGCAAATAATTTCTGTAACTAATTGGCGGTCATAGTGCATGACCAGGGAAAAGTGAAATTCACCGGTCAAGTGCAATATTCTCCCGGTCAAACATTAACAACTGAAGTGAACTCAGAACTGTCCATGCGAAAAACAACATTTTATCCATGTAATTATTATTAATTCATAAATGTTTTAACTTATTGTGTAATTATAAATTGGAGTAACTTGTGTCACTTAGTGTAAATTAATATAACTATAAAGCAAATACTCTCAAAACTAACTTTTTTAGTGTTGTTTATAGATTAGCCAAATTAACGTATGTGTGTCGGTGTGTGTAAAATTCCAAGCACGTGCATTTACATCGCGATATCTCATTAGCTTACTAGCAGATTATACCGGTATTTTACGTTGCATACGTTTAAAATTAAAAACGGCTTGGCAAAAAAAGTAAAAAAATTTAGGCAAAATTAACACTCAAAGGTGTTCTGTAACCCTAAGGACTTTCAACTTCAAGCACTTCATAATAAACTCAAGGATTTTCAAGGATTTTCAAGTTTTGTATATACGAATCCTGCATGAAGAGTACGCTGCCTGAAACGAGCCGAATGTATCGATATAAATGTCGATATCGATATAAATTCAACATATATAGCTACACATTTGAACTAACTTACCTTTAGTTTAAATAATTCTCCAATAAACTTGATATTTCCCAACATCCGTCTTTTATTCGTCGCTATAGCCCCGTCCATTTCCTCCTTTTTAGCCTTTATTTCCTCTTCCTAGATGCGAAATGTGTCAAGGAAAATTTATCAAGAGAACTTGTCAAGGAAAAGTTGTCAAGAAAAATATGTCAAAAAAACTTGTCAAGGAAAACTTGTCAACAAAATCTTGTCAACAAAATATTTGCTCGTCTGTGGAAAGCACTATGCCTTTAAAACACTTCAACAAAAGTTACAAGAGTTCTTACCGGCAATCCTTCAAGTTGTTTAAGTTTCTCTGCAAACTTTTCTTCGTCCTGTTTTTCTTTTTCAAATTCCTTTTGACATCGATTCAATAACAATTTACGGAACGACACGTCTTTTCCTTCAGCATCAGCAACTTTTATCTGTACATAAAAATAAAATTATAATCAGCGCAATATCAGGTTTTTTATACTGTGGTAAGAAACATCCATAAATAAAATCAACCCGAATGGGTTGAATTTCTCTTTAAATACTAGTAATTTGTATTTAAGTACTTTGAGAAATTGATTATTTTATTGTTTGTAATTTTACAACAACTCAAAAGTAAAACATTAAACATTACATAGAATAGACATCGACACATGTTTGCATAAGCAACACTGAACACTGGTTCGCCTATTGCCTAGAAGAAAAAACATTGCAAGATTATAACATGTTTTAATTAAAAACAAGAATTGACTACAGTAACTGCAATTGCAGTGTGTGTACAGCTCTACCATTTCTGAACTGTTCTCACCAGAGGTCTAATAAGTGCTATTCCTTATCGGTCCATTATTTAATACTACGGGAGGAAATAGGTTTCTGTAGCATGTATATCCCTTCTAACTGTAGATCCAGTGATTGTAAAAACAGATTGGTTGAAATGTCCAATTTAAATTGGTTTTCTCAGACGCATTCATTTAACCAATTTTTATTGGTTAAAACAACAAAAAAAATTGGTTTAAACAACCAGTATTATCTTGGATTTGACCAAATAAAATTGGTCAAAGAGAGATGCGTCTGAGACAACCAATTTAAATTGGTCATTTCAACCAATCTGTTTTTACAGATATTGATACAAACGAAAGTAACATTATTTATACAGGATAGCCCTATCAGTTCTAAACTGTTCTCTCGAGCCCACGAGGTGCAGTAAGAACCGCCCGTAAATGGTCCAGTGTTTACTGCACGAGGAAAGCTGTACTAAACTAACATTTTCATTTGTGATGGATAGCTCTATATCAGTTTTGACTGTTCTCCCGAGATGTAAAGGGCAATACCTTCTCAAATATTCTGTCAATCACTCCCTCTAGACGTTCAGGTGTATCGATGTTAAGTGCCATGATTTGTTCTACCAAAGTCTTGAACTTTTGTGGAGTCAGTTTATTCAATATAGCCACGACATTACGGTATAATTCCTAGGTATTTGAAGTAATATATTGTCAATCAATGTGTCTAATTACAAGACACTGCAGACATTTCAAGACATTTCAATGACGGACAGAAAAATGTCACACAAACCATAAACATTTTACTCATATAACTGCAAGTATTTCCCTCTATAGAAATATGATTTTTATTTTGTTGAGCTTTTGAAAGACCTATAAAAGTCTGGTACCCAATATCACAACTCACAAGCATTATTTAGGAGCAAGCGGCAAGCATGCAATCACACCCTTATAACGTAATTGTCATATTAAATAATGATTATTAAATAAAACTTAAGCTAAAGTTAGCAATATAACAAGCAGTATATGATTCTGTACAATGCATGCCAATGTTGCGACAACATACGCATTTTATACAATCTATTTTGTTCTGTGTAGGATTCCTTACAGCTCTACTGATAAAATATTTTAAACAATGAGAATTGATAGTTATATAACTGTACATTAAACAACAACGTTAATATGGTTAATTGATTATCTTAGAAAAAGTATCTAATGTCAGTCAAATGGAACAACTCGGGACTCTTTATTCATTTCATCAAGTGACCCATGTTCTGAAAGATTCGCATAACTTAGAGCCTTAATTAATGGACCTTTCCCCTTATAACTAAAATTTCGATCTAGACAAAAATTTCATCACAGCTTGAAAGAGCATCACAAAATTAGTAATATTCCAAAGTTTTGTTGCAAAATCTTGTAAAATGCGGATAATATAGCCTTGCGAAGTTTGCCGTCATTTTGTCAGTCATTTTGTATTACAAACGGGAAATTGACATACGATTCGGGTGTTGGGGCTGCAATTTCCCGTTTGTAATGCAAAATGACTGAAAATTGCAAACTTCGCAAGGCTCTATTTTCCTCATTTTACAACATTTCGCAACGAAACTTTGTAATATTACTAATTTTGTAATGCTCTTTCAAGCTGTGCTATTTGTCTAGACTTGCCTAGATCAAAATTTTGGTTATAAGGGGAAAGGTTTATTAAACGGACACGGAAACCCCTTGGCATATATGTTGAAAATTTCGCCCCCCCCCAATATTTCGGGAAGTGTCCGCCACTGATATAACAAACGAAAAAACGTTCAAAACAGAACATAATAAATATAACAAAAAATTGAAAAAAACATACCGCAGACTTCTTCTCTGCATCCGACAATTCCTTTTCCTTCTCTTCTGGTCGTTGCCAACGATTTTCACTTTGCTTCAACTGTAGAAATAGACACAATCTCTGTCATCAAAATATATTTTCACAAAACTTTGATTACAGTGGTGTAACTTAACTAATTTTACCACTTGCCACCGGAGCAAGTTGAACATGAAAACTGGTTGCCCGGGATAAAACTCACGATAGCAATCATGTGTAATTTTGCTCTCACATATTAACAAAATTCGTCGCAAATGATTGCAGCAAGGAGTGTTTAATCACCACTGCAAAAATTTTGAAAAAGTGCAATTCGAGTTATTTCCCACAATAATTTTGTTTAAAGTAACCATTATTCTTGGGTTTCATATAACGTCTCAAAAGTGAGGAGGGGAGGGGGGGGGGTCAAGTCTAAAACAAAACACAGTTATCAGAGTGAGTCGATTGTTCATTTTATGTATTAGCCTTGTGTTTGGTGGCAAATACGTGGAATTTCATATCATTTTCTCACTCCGGTACAGCATAAGCATCAATACATTTGAGGTTGACTCCCCCCTCCCCCCCGTCAGATTCACTGCATAATGCCGTAGTGAAACCCAAGAATATATTGTAACCATGTATAATTTATAGTCCCCTTCGCCTTGGAATAAAATTCTATTGTTTATGATCACATCTTCATTGAGGTTGGCGTTGTATTTCCCACCTCACTAAAGGACTGTTCACATAAAGCCGGGCTGGCCAGGTTACCCGGGATTCGTTTAATATAGCTCTTATCACGGCTTTGGTAAGGACCGTTTACACTTGCAATTTTTGTTGCGATTTTCTTCTTCTGACGCATGTGAACGAGTGGACAAGTTATGAATGCTCAGATGAGGGTACATGTACTCCGAACATTCGCAACTCATCTACTCGTTCACATGCATCAAAAGGAGAAAATCGCACTAGAAATTGCAGCAAAAATTGCAAGTGTAAAGAGCCTATAAACACTCAAAATGACATTTCAAATTAGCTTAGTTTGATTTCAGTAACATGCAGTGTACAGGGTGTATAAAAAAAAGCAACCTCGGAATTTCCCAAGAAATCGACATTGTTTTAAGGACAAAAGATTTTAGGTGCCTGGGAATTCAAAATAGCACAACTGTCAAACTTACTGCGCACGCTAGTGCGTAAAGCAAAATTTATGCATTTATTTAATGACACTTAATGAGTTTTTATTTTACAAGTACAGTACAACAACAGTAATATGATCTATTAGCAATTCGATTTCAATTCCCAGGGGCCTAAAATCTTTTATGCTTAAGAATTGCAAAGTGGATTTCTTAGGAAATTCCGAGGTTGTGTTTTTTTTTATACACCCTCTAAAGTTCATTCCAACGATATTTTATGGTCAGGAAAAAAAATCGTCACACGATTCATTCCGGCTATTCGGGCTGGCCCGGCTAGTGTGAACAGCCCCTAATTTATTCAATAGCATACCACAACTGGATGTGCGGGAGCAGCTGAGATAATCTTGCGAGGTGGGGGTTTTCCACGGCTATCACGTCGACCACCGCCTCCCTAATTAACAAATGAAACGTTTGTGAAAAAACTTTCAATTACTTTTAACATACCATTCTAAGGAAAAGATAACGTTGTTATTGCGTTTAACATTGAGAACATTAAAAACTCACCTGGCTTTTTTGCCGTGCAAACGAAGGCAAGAAATCTGATCCGCCTCTGCAATGCCAATGGAAAGAATGTAGTTTAATATTAAGATTAACATTTCTATAGCACCCAGAGAAAACAGACGACTTTCAGCGGACTCTTTTCACACAAGTCCGTAGCGAGAATCGAACCAACAATCTCAGGGGGTGACAGGCACTTTCTCTGACGAGTTAAGGGTTACGCATGATATAAAGTAAGGGTTACGCATGATATAATGTAAGGGTTACGCATGATATATAAGCAAATCCACTATAAGCCATTTTGTTTTGACTTCTAAACTTTTGCGGACTTTTTAACAAATTGCCGATCGCGCTAGGAGCTTGGGGTCTACAGAGTGCAATAATCTTTTTCGGACCAAACTAAGAAAATCATTGCACGCTGACTAAAGGGGAAAACTATTCATTTCCACACTCAGTTGATGCAGTGACGTCACGCAGAAGATTCATCGGATTGGGGTAAGGGTTAGACTAAAAAGCTCAGTGTGACGTCACTACATCAACTGAGTGCAGAACATTGACATATCTGGACTGCTTGCTCGGCCACACAAAGCGTGGTCACAAGATGGCGGAAATATGAGAATGATTGTTCATGGAGTCGACCACCAATCAGTATTCAGAACTGTCTGTTGGCGTTTTATGCGATCTTTTTGTAGTTTTGCCTGTGGTTTTGCGGGTATTTTCGAGAAAAATGTTCAAAAAAGTACTCTTAATGTTAAGTTTGCGAGTAATATACTTGAAACAAATGCGCTAAAGAGGCTACAGTTTGTTTTTAATTTGTTTTCGTTTAAAACTGCTTGTGGTATTCAAAGTGTGTACTTTTCGGAATTTGTTTTTGTACTTATCGCCCTACACACAAAGTATTGCACATTAAAGTGATTTAAAATAAATATTTATGTAATTAATATGTACAGATTTAATACTTTTACAAAAACGAATAACAATGCAAAGGCTTTTTTAGAGGCTACTTACAATGTTTTGCTATTTTTTGCAGTCCTGTTGTCCCTAGTTTTTTCAAATATAAATAAATGTTAAAAACAACTTTATAGGCGAACGAAGGATGAAAAGTATATCACATATTGTTTTTCGTTGGTTTTTGGCCAAATATATTTTGTTTTCACCGAAATCTGCAAACAGTTTTGGCAAAAAGTCTAAGTTTTGCACGGAAAATATTTTGCTTTGCGCCAGCAGTGCTGTTTTACATAAGTCAGCGTTGTTTCCCATTAGTAGTTACTCTCGTATTCGTCAGCTTCAATAGACCTTTCCCCTTTTAAGTGAAATTTTGATCTAGACAAGTCTGGACAAAAATTTCATCACAGTTTGAAAGAGCATCACAAAATTAGTAACTCCGAAGTTTCGTTGCGAAATGTTGTAAAATGCGGATAATATAGCCTTGCAAAGTTTGCCGTTTTTCAGTCATTTGGTATTACAAACGGGAAATTGATAATCAGTTTGATCATCTGATTATCAATTTCCCATTTGTAATACAAAATGACTGAAAAACGACAAACTTCGCAAGGCTATATTATCCGCATTTTACAACATTTCGCAACGAAACTTTGGAATATTACTAATTTTGTGATGCTCTTTCAAGCTGTGATTTGTGAAATTTTTGTCCAGACTTGTCTAGATCAAAATTTCACTTAAAAGGGGAAATGTCTACTTGCCACGTAAGCCTTCAAGTCAAAAATATTGCAGCAAGCAGTCCGGATGCGTGTCAATGATGCAGAATAAGTATATTGAGAATTATTCGGGAATTGTTGCCCACCAACGAGAATAAAGTTTGATTCTATAAATAATTTAGTATTTTTGCACAAGTGAATATAACAACTCCTACAAGTTTATTGGTCGAATTTGACGTATTAACCTGTTATATTCACCTACAGGTGAATATAACAAAACCGAAATTTGCAAAATGGCGGCTAGCCGTTTTGTAGAAGTTACTGATAAAGAAATAAGCTAAATTAAAATAAATACAGTCCCAAAAAAACACAAAAGACTTGGGTAAAAATACTAAACCAATTATTCGCCTCATGCTCGGTGATTGTTGGTGCATATTCACCTTGTTCTCGTTTGGTTGGGGCATGAGAAACAAGAAAACTATCATGCAAACTCTCGCTTGCCAACTCGACCGGGGCTTAACAATAGGGAATTCTAACTATAGACTAAATTTTGATCTAGCAAGAACAACAAAATCCGAAGTAAAATTGAAAAGTTTGGCCGCGAAAAATTTGTAAAATGCGGAAAATATAGCCCTGCGAAATTTGCAAATTCTGTATTAATTTTTATTATATAGTAGAGAGTGAGATACTGAAAAATACACGGCGACATATTTTCCATATCTTCACTAGTGAGGATATCGATCACGTGACTTTTTCCAATTTGCTTTTGAGCGTGAAATTTCACAATTTTTTGCTTGGGACTAAATAATAAACAGAACATTACACGGTGGCTTGAAGATACGACTTTTATCTTCTCGTGTTAAAAACAATATTTTACTCACTCGCTGCGCTCGTCTTCACCACTATTCAGTATTGTTTTCACCACTCGAAGATAAAAGTCATATCTTCGCGCCGCCGTGTAATATCCTCTATGTATTACGCGCGGGAAAATGCACCACATTTGGCACGAAAGTGGTGCATTTTCCCGTGCGTAATACAAATTAATACAAAATTTCGTAGGGCTTTACTAATTTTAACATGCTCTTTCTAGCAGTGGATCTTGTTCTTCTTGCCCAGATCAAAATTTAGTCTATAGTTGGTATAAGGGGCCATTCACAAAGGATGTCCGAGCCAAGGGGGGGAGGGGGGTTTGGAAAATCAGGACAAACTCGGACATAGGGGAGAGGGGGGGGGGGGTTAGCAATCCGGATGTCCGAAATTTAAAAAAATTCAAAAACAAATTTCTTTTTCCCTCTATTTTGAGCAGTCCTTCCCATTGTGAAATTGGCATTTTGACTGTGCGGTTAACACTAGATTTTGTTTTAATTAGTAATTTATATGTTTTTGTGTTCACATTTACAGTTATAAAAAAGTTCTAAAAGTAAAAGTTTTTTACTCTTGATATATACAAGATTGCATGAGTTTTTGCGAGGCACGGCGGATGTCCGGGGGGAGGGGGTCACTAATTCGGACAATGCCGGACAAGGGGGAAGGGGGGGGGGGTCTGAAAATCCATCATTTGGCCGGACATCCTTTGTGAATGGCCCCTAAGCAATTACCTTTGTGAACCGCCTGTTTTGCCTGGCGGAGCCGGAGCATCCAGAACAACTTCAATATCGGGTAAACCTTCTGGTTTCTCGGTACACACTTTATGGAATTGAAACTTCAGCAAGAAATCACGTTCGTATTTTCGTTTCGTTTGTTCGACAGGTGCTGCCGCTTCTGGAAAATATAGAAACACAGGGTGTTAGCCAGAAAAAAGGGTTTTGTCCGTTACACGTAAATTGGGAAAGTTTTTTTGACCGATCAAAGTCCTTGTGTTGGAATAAATAGTGTTTTTTCCAACGTGTTTCTCCTTAGATGCAAATAACGGTAGCTTGGTTTTGTACATTCCATTTCCGGTGAATGAACACTGAAAAATGCACCCGATGGCACTTCGTTTTGTATATTTCATTTCCGGTGAATGAAGACGGATGCACACCGATTACACTTTGTTTTGTACATTTCATTTCAGTGAATACACACCCAATATGAATGAAACGCATACATTTTGAGAAAATAGTTTATGGGAAAAAGTAAATAAAACGTTCTTTGTTATTATAATATAAAATCAAACGCAATGCACTTTCTCATAAGAAAAAATGAAAATCTTCCAGTAGACCCAGTTGGGACAGCCCCTTAGCTACTTCAATTGGGAAGAGTCCGTCAAACGGACAGTATATGGGCTAGCTAACACCCTGAAACAGTACACATTATCAACTGCGCAATGACTACTGGGTCTTTGAACAACTTTTTGGATATATAGAGGATATTACACGGCGGCGCGAAGATATGACTTTTATCTTCGAGTGGTGAAAACAATATTTTACGAGTGAGTAAAAAATTGTTTTGCGAGTGAGTAAAATATTATTTTTAACACGACAAGATAAAAGTCAGATCTTCAAGCCACCATGTAATGTTCTGTTTATTATATAGTCCCAAGCAAAAAATTGTGAAATTTCACGCTCAAAAGCAAATTGGAAAAATTCACGTGATCAATATCTTCACTAGTGAAGATATCGATCTCACTGTGTATTTTTCAGTATCTCACTTGCTACTATATAATAAATAAATCACTCGTATTTAGCTACACTTTTATTCCAACTCAACTGGGCGCTTAGTTATACAACTTCAAATTTCTCGATCGAATTTAGGTTATACAAGATAGATTTGTACATAACAATAATTCGTAACAATAATTCTCAAGTTATAATACCTGTGTCATTTTCTTTCTCCACTTTAATCTCATCACCAATCTTCTCTCCCTTGTCTTCCCAACTTAAATCTTCTTCTAGTGGTTTCTCACTTTCCTCTGGAGCGATCTCAACTGGCTTGACTTTTTCCTCGACAACAGGCTGAAAATTATAACCCATTGCATTTGAATCATGTAGCTGAGATTGACTGGAAGCATTAAAATGTGCAAGTATTCCGTTGTTATTTGTATTTTTGTTTCACTTATGGCCACAATAGTTCATTAACTAATTTTTGTACTACCATAAGGTACACTTAGAGCCTGTTTATATGGAGGGGAGTTACTCGGCAACGGCCAGTTCCCGGCTATTATAGAAACTTATAGTAATCCCGGGTGACTGTTTACATGATGCAGCTGACGTAGCTCGCCTTGGCGAGTTCCCGGCAGAAAGAGGCGGGATATCGCCTACACACGTAAAAACGCACAAGTTGTTTCAAGTCTTACAAATCTGTTCACAAGCTGTCAAAAGTTGTCTTCGCACTGCTTGTTCCCAGTTGTTGTAACAAGTTTGGAACAAGCTGTTAACAACTTGGAACAAGCTTGATGGCATTATCAGACTTGTCACAAGGTTGTTCTAACAAGCCTGATACAGTCGTCATGATATAACAAGAATGTTACAAGGTTGACGACACAAAGTTGTAACAATACTGCTATATCATGACTGTATAAAAAACGCACAAGTTGTTACAGGTCTGCAAACAAGTTGTTTCAAATCTGTTCACAAGCTGTCAACAAGTTGTGTTCGCACTCCTTGTTCCCAGTTGTTTTTTTCGAGTTTGGAACAAGCTGTTGACAACTTGTAACAAGCTTGATGGCATTATCAGACTTGTCACAAGGGTGTTCTAACAAGTCTGATACAGTCATGATAAACAAGAATGTTACAAGGTTGACGACACAAAGTTGTAACAATACTGCTATATCATGAATGTATCGGACTTGTTGGAACAACCTTGTAACAAGTCTGATAATATCAACAAGGTTGTTACAAATTGTTAACAGCTTGTTCCAAACTTGTTGACAACTTGTGACAAGCAGTGCGAAGACAACTTGTTGACGGCTTGTTGAGAAACTTGTTACAATATGTGCGGTTTTTGCGTGTGTAACTCGATTCCATATAAACAGAGCGCTTGTTTGTCCCGCCTGGGCGAGTAACTCGCCTTGCCGGGTAACTCGCCTCCATATAAACAGGTCCTTAGAAATGTACATTTACATTACGTTCACACTACACCAGAGCGAAATAACGCCGGCAGAATTTACGTGTGTTCACACCACGCCATTACAGTTTGTTTACAAATTAAATTAGCACTCATGTAAACCAAAAACATCTCAAATAGACAAATAAATTGAAACGAAAAGCATTCGAATTTATTTCTTTGAAACCCGGGATGCTTGGTTTGCAAGCGGTAAAAAAAGTAACGGCGTTTGTGTTCACACGAAGCCGCCAAACGCTCCGTTTTGGGTCATCATCTACCTATATAGTATCCAGCCTCGTGGTTGGTTGATTATAACAATGACAGACAATAAAACTATAGAAATAGTCTTTCTAAAGAACGACGAGTCACGAACAATGATCATTTTTGTTTCTGAAAGCCAATCACAAAACATGAGCATTTAGGTAAGTCTTTACCCCCCGTTTTCATCTCGCTCCGTCTAGAAACCGTGCCCAAATTGTTATGGCAAAAATGACGTTTTCAAACAATCTCGCTCTGGTGTTGCGTGAACGCGGCGGCTTATTTAAAGCCACTGTACACTTTGAATCAACCAGTGGATCTACAGTATCATGCACTTAATACAACAATCAATGACTCATTTGCAATAATCAACTGACGAACGTAGAAATCACTTATCAATGACCAAACAAAAAATCCTTCTCACTGTCAAGTGTCAAACAATAAACCATCGACTGATAAACACTCATTCAATGAACTGCCCAATGGATTGATCAACTAACCAACGAACGATGTAAACAAAGATTAATTAATCAAAAAAGCCATCAAGTGATCAAACACACAATCAAACACTCAATCGTAAATCAAACAATAAATTAACAACACAATCAATCAAGCAATCAATCAGTCCATCAATCAACTAACTACCCAATCAATGAATAATTGTTCAAACAATCACAATTTATCAACCAAACAGTCAATTCACTAAACCAGCTTAACCAATCAACTAATCAAAAATACCAACAATCAATCAACTAGGCAATCAATCAATTAACCAACCAATTAATCAATTAAGCCAACAAATTGTCAGTTACAATCCTAATAAACCTAATTAACAATCGATAAATTAATTAATGAAACTACGCAACAATTAGCTAATTAATAAACTATCCACTATTTAATTGACTAATTAATCAACCAATTAATTATTTAATCAATTAAACAACATGCAGTTACTAAATAACATTAACCAGCAATTCAATAGACCTTATGCATAATGACGTCACAAGGCTTGATGCCCGCGAGGAATGCTGGTCTTAATAGTCATCGCCCGGGAAAATTTCGATAGTGGCCATTTTGAATTGTTTAATTTTCCCGGGCAATGACTACTAAGACCAGCAAACCTCGCGGGCATCAAGCCTTGTGACGTCATTATGCATAAGGTCTAGTCACCAAATCATAAACAATTACCATGCAGGTATATTTAAGAAAATTTTTCTATCAATACACCAATTTGTCAATGGTATATTCATAGAAATAAATAAATAATCATGTTTATTTACCTCTTGTGGTGGTGGTTTATCTGTATAAGCATCCATTAAGTCTCCCCCAGTCTCTTTTTTATTTATATCCTTGATTCTTTGTTTTGATGATTTCTTTTTGGGAGGTTCTGCAAAAAATAACCTGGAATATTACTATGTGCAAAGGATTCTTCTGTATATTATTGTTTTTGGTACAATATATTCAATAGAAATTGTTTGAATTTCAAACCTGCTGTTTTCTGTGGCGGTTGTTGTGGCTGCTTTTCTTGGGGCTTTGGATTGTCTTGTTTTTGTTCTGGTTTATCCACTTGCTGTTGTTTATCTACTTGCTGTTGTCGTTTGTCTGCTTGCGGTTGTTGTTTATCCACTTGCTGTTGTTGTTTATCTACTTGCTGTTGTTGTTTATCTGCTTGCTGTTGCTGTTTGTCCGCTTGTTGTTGTTTGTCCGCTTGATGTTGCTGTTTGTCCGCTTGATGTTGCTGTTTGTCCGCTTGCTGTTGTTGTTTGTCCGCTTGCTGTTGTTGTTTGTCCGCTTGCTGTTGTTGTTTGTCCGCTTGCGGCTGTTGTTTGTCCACTTGCTGTTGTTGTTTGTCCGCTTGCGGCTGTAGTTGGTCCACTTGCTGTTGTTGTTTATCTACTTGCGGTTGTTGTTTATCTGCTTGCGGTTGTTGTTTGTCCGCTTGCGGTTGTTGTTTGTCCGCTTGCGGCTGTTGTTTGTCTTCTTGCGGCTGTTCTTTATCCACTTGCTGTTGTTGTTTGTCCGCCTGCTGTTGTTTATCCGCTTGCTGCTGTTGTTTGTCCACTTGCTGTTGTTTGTCCGCTTGCTGTTGTCCGTCCGCTTGCGGTTGTTTATCTGGTTGCTTTTGCTGAATTACTTCAGCATTCTGCTTTTCGCCCTGCTCTTGTTTGGGCACCTCTGGTTGTACTGAGATTTCTTTATGGCTTTCCTCTGGTTTCACTTGTTGGTCCTGGCTTTGAATTTTATCTTCTTGTTTAGACTCACTTTCCTTACTTACGACCTCTTTGCTATCACTTATGGCTTCAACCTTCTTTCCAGTTTCATCAGAACTAATATCAGCATGCGCAGCCTCGCTATCCAGAGACTTAGTACCCTCAACACCATTTTGGGCATTATCCAAGCCACTATCCTTATTGTCACTCTTTATCTGTTCCACTGGACCAGGGCTGACCATATTTTCATTGCTTGTTTTCCCTTCAGCCGCATTATCATTATTTTCTAGTACTTTATCTGAAACTTCTGTGGCCTTTTCCTTTATTTCGCTTGCCCCATTTTTTATCGTCGCTTCTCTATCGGGCCGTAAAAGCAAAACTTTCGGCTCGTTCTGAACTTCTATGGTTTTTTTCAATTTCTCCGTCATCTCTTGCAACGTTGGTGAGCCCTGATTTAAGTGTGTATTATCGGTAGTATTCTTTGGGCTCTCTGTCCTGTTAACAACTGCTGAACTGTTTACTTTGTGCAGAGCTTCCATAGTGTTTGGAGGCACATCTTTGGCATGGATTTCGTCGGTAGCTAATGATCCATTTCCTGGTTTATTTATCTCTGGTTTTATTTCGTGGTCTCTTCTTGCTTGAAGTTCCTTATCCTTGTCTGTTTCGTCCGCTTTCTTCTCGTTATCCTGTTTGCCTTTCTCTCCCCCAACACGGGCTGCAACCTGAGCAGCAAACTGTGCCTGGATGGTAGAGGACTCTGTCTGAGCAATTGAATTTGTCAAAGGAGGGGTGCTTCCAGTACGACCGTTCGCTGCATTAGTGTGGGAAAGAATTTGTTCTGTGACATCTTTATTGTCTTTTGGGTCTCGAATTACAATTTTACTAGTTCGTTTTGGTTTAGGTTTGGTTAGATTATTCGTTTGAATTGTGGGGTTAGAAGGCTGCGGTAGCTGTTGCTGTTGTATTGGTTGGTTAGGCTGCACGGCGTAGTACATAGGGGACATTCCTTGGTTATAATATTGATGTTGCTGTGGGTGATATTGTGGTTGAAATGGTGCAGTGGTCGGTTGCATTTGGTACGCTGGCTGGACATTAGGAATGAATGTAGGTCTCATCACTGGTTGGCCATAAGGATCCTAAAGCAAAACACAAACCTTAAATTTATGAAGCTTAGGAGAAAAAAGAGCAAGACATACATACAGGTTTACCAACTTTTTCCAAAACCACTTTAATACACTATTTCGCCTGGGAGCCTCGCTCTCATGAATCGTCAGCCAATCACCTTGCATAATTTACTGATGAGAGCGAGGCTCCAGGACCAAAAAATATGTGCATGCGTGACGTAATTATCGAAAGGGTGTATTAAAGATGACTTGCGCACAAAAATATTCATAGATGCAAACTTGCAGTCTATGAGTGAAGTTTAAAACCACTTTACAACAGCCCTGTCGCGCTTGAAAATTTACTTTTCATAGTACTGTTTTGATAGAAATACCAGAAGATCAAACTATACCCATACTAAAATAAAGTTGTTAAAGATTTTGCAGAATTTTCAGTTTAGTACGTGAACATTTTAGAACGGTGTAGATTTTTATATACACTGTATATACTGTAACTAAGCAAGCTAAGGCTAATTTGGCTAGTTGTAAGTTGTGAGCAAGTTGTGATCACTGATATAAATTGTCCTATTCTCCACCGGGCTGACTGGCCCCCTGTTGAATACTTATCATTTATAGACTCGGACCGAGGAAGATTCGGCAGAATATTACCCGAAGTGATAATATTTCCCGGCTTTGCCCCGAGGAAAATATCATCACTGAAGGTAAAATTTCAACGAGTACTCCGAGCAGAGGGTCTATAAATGATATATTATACCAAAGGTTAAAGAAACCACTATAAAGTTCAGAAGAAACTTTAAAACTTGCTGAATAGTAACTTTTAATTTCTTATGTATACCCGAGTTTTTGACGTTCTCTCTTTAAAATATTTGAATTTGAGGTATAATACTGATTGAGACTTACCTGCCCCACAACTTGATACTGCATATTCTGCTGTTGAATATATCCTTGCATTGGCGAATGTCCTTGAGGTGATGATGAGTATATTGCCCTGGTTGGCCGCATTGAACGTGGTTGCATTGCCATTGGATGACCTGCTAGGTAAGCACCTTGACGTTGCCCTTGCATCATGACGGCCTATTTTCATGAATATACATATAACCAACTAGAAGTATTACCTAAATCAGAAAGCTTTACCTCATGGACTGGACTATTCCAGGGCAAAAGGCAGAAGCTCTCACTCTGCCCAGGGATGGGCAGAAGCTCTTACTCTCCCCAGGGATGGGCAGAAGCCCTCGCTCTCCGACTCAGCTAGGAACGGCGGAGAAGAGGCTATCCCCTTTTTATCATAGGGAAATATTTGGAATGTTTTAAAATCATTAAAAATTCATTACATGTTTGCCATGTGTGCCAAAATTGCAAATCAAAATACTTACTTCAGGAAAGATGTACATTACTTTTCTCACAGGTCGGGTTTTACCACAAAATCAGTGAGTTTTGAAAAATTTTTCTTACATTTCCAAAAATTATTGTCCACGGGTGGGGAAATCAAAATTCATGAACTTGTTGAACCCCCTTGCACTGAAAGAGCTTGCAAAATGTTTCTAAATATCATGTCACTGCAACCAGCTAGATTCGTTTTTTTATAAATACTGATTATTCAATATTGAAATGTTCGATATATCAGAATATCAATATTTTTCGATATTATTGATATCACGTTTACATTTGTATATTTAATCGTCATATCAAGCTTTCCAAAATTGCTGTGATTTCTGCAATTGTGTGACTTGTGCAATTCTTCAAAAGTTTGAAAACTATACGGTTCACTTGTAATGAAAATAAAAACTATATGGCAATTCATCATCGTTATGTTTACAAAATATATGCTGTGGTCTTTTCATTTTCATGTGGAGGGCTTCAAATTTTAATTTCAGCACCACCCAATGAAATACTAACAACTTGAAATCTAGTATCTACCCTGAAAATCTGGTATTGCTGATTCACTCAACCCATCGAGTCGCATTACGCCCTACTTTATTAATTTACTCTGTCTAACGGCAGAAGATTTTACTCGCAGGCACTTAATGGGTTAATTGAAATTAAACTTTTCAAGGGTTTTAATACCACAGGTTAATACACACTCTGTATTTATTACAGCCAAATTAAATCTGGTTTCCAGTAACTCGTAAATATTGCAATGTAGCATCGCAAGAGTCATAGAAATAGGCTGGTTGCCATTTCCTGCGATTGAAATTGCTCTGAATCCTGCGTTTGTGTGAATTGTGCAATTCTTGAAATTCAATGGAAACCAGTCTTAATTTAATTAAAAGAGTTGCTAGAAAATAGAGTCATGCCAAATCTACTTTATTCCTTTACTAGTTGAGGCAATGTTACTATAGGTACCCTGATGTGCCCTATTTTATCACTTTATCCTGTCGAGGTGCAGGGGATAGAGCATTTTACAGATTGGCAGGATATTACCAGATATGCTGTCCCTTGCGGAGTGTTGAAATATCTTCCTACCAGATTACTGGTTATAACTGGAATACTGGTTATATACAAGGTTCAGGCCTAATAATGCAAGACTAATAATGGTCATTTCAATGGACATAAAGTGATGTTTGTAATGTACTGATTTGAAATGATAGGAAAGAACTTCACAGTCCAACATTGATAAACATGCCTGTTTGCTCATAAAGTTCCAATTTCACATCCACTTTCTCACACTTGCAAGCAAGCATAAAAAAGCTTGAAAATACTGCCACCTAATCTCTACAATCATTTCAAGTAAAACTATGACAGATACCCATACTTTTTAAAACATATTACCAAGGTTCGTACACCTTCATAATTTAAAAAATCCAGGGTTTTCCAGGACTTTTTTCATCCTTTTCCTAGGGGTTTTCAAGGGGCATTTGAAATATAAATGTAAATGTTTAACCAATACGAAATTTCACAATGGGCAGTACTTCATCTTACACAGATTTTTTTTTGGTTTGTACCAGTTTGGTTTGTATTACATCATTTCTAACCTAAAAATACCCTGCTGGCAGTGGTTTCTGAGCTGAGGAGAGACCACTGCAAGCAAACAAACGATCGTTTCATGTAGCCGCCATCCAGATTCACAGACGAATACATTAAATGAGAAACCGGTGAAACAAGTTTGACAAGTTTTTGGTGTAGTGTGTATGGGTAAATGCTTGCCACTGCTGGTAAAATGCAAGCCAGATGTACAAAAACAACATCACGCTCTAAATATAGTAACACGCTATAAATATACTACCTTAATTGTACAAAATATTAAATAAAATGTGAGAAATTATACATTAAAATGACTTGAAAACCACCTAGCATTCAACAGAATAACTATAAATTCCACACTGCAACAAAAATAACCTTTTACAGAAATAGTTGCGCCGTCAAGACAATTTTGACCAGTTAAAACGTGAAGCATTTGAGGTCGCAACAATCGCAAATTGCAATAATTGTCAAAATGAACAGTAATTGGAAACATTATTATATTATTTGGAAACTATGGAAATTAGAATTTACCAAAAACGTTAAAACAACTCCAATGTTTAAATTAAGTAACAGAAATAAAGTTTGTAGACCAAATAAAAAAATTGTTATAGATCGGACAAATACAAAAATTGAAAAAGATATAACAGAAATTCGAATGCATAATTTGTTGGATGAGGCACCAATTGTAAAATATTTTAGTACAGGCAATAACGATAAACTGTGAACTGCATGTAGAATAAAATGTCGTTTGATTAAAACTGACAGACATTCCATGCTTGTCTACAGTTAACAAACTACAGGAAATGAAGTTAAATTAGCGACGTTGCATCACACAATCTTCGTGCATGCTCGATAGAAGGTCGTTCGTTTGCTTGCAGTGGTTTCTCCTCACCTCAGAAACCACTGCCAGCAGGGTAACCTAAAAAGCCTGAACCATGAATAAATTATATCTAGTATTTTATACATCCAACCGGATACCAGGTAATGAGATTATCTCAAGAACCGGCCCGGATCTCTGGCTGGATATGTTATCAGGTGCATTCCTTGTAGTGCATATCGGTTTCTCGCCAAACAACAAGAAGCAACTGTTTAAATTAATCATTTTGTAATATCATAGTTGGGCAACCAAAACATTGCTACATGGTTGGTTGGACAAAAATACAACATACTCATAACAATGAATCATCATACGCTGACATGAAAATATACAATAATAATAAGTTCTATTGTATATTCATCAAGTTTTGTAACATTGTATTCTATTGACTATGTTAAAACTAAGTGCCATCTGTATGTTTTCAAAACATCTGAGGTTTACCCCACCCACAGATAATAACATACTCTAGTTCCCAGCAGGGTAGTGAGGCAATGATATTGCACTTTATAAAAGACAATGATCACAACACAAACTTTTTTTATAAAATATCTCAGATTATACATAATTTGACCTTTAAATCAACTAATTCAATAAAATAAGTATCTTAAATCGTTGATCTAACCTGTACTGGATGATATCCCTGTTGACTTCGTAGCTGCGTTTCGCCTGAAAGCGACAAAATTTACATCAAATTCAATTCATTCAAAGTATATAAACACTCATCGTGCCAACTGGACTAAAATTTCAAGCCTGCACTCAACAGAGAGATAAAACTTACTTGGTATATGAGTATTTCTTGTATTTCTATAAAGATTTAGTTAAGTTTCACAATCGATCACTATATTTGTATACAAAATCACATGTACCTATGAACACATTTAAGTAATAAAGTAGTGTGTATTTTCAGGACACAATACATGCCAGAATATACTGCCGATCGCCGTTATAGAAAGACATAACACTCGTATATAATCCATATTTAAAAGGATACGGTATATAGTTTCGTCCTGCCCCTGGTCTATGTGATTTCCCTTGCATTTCTTCCCCAAGAAAATACACGAACCCTTTACCGATGCCGGCAAAAATGGCTTGATTTCAAACGTCGGTTTATTGTACTAAAATCCCTTTTCTTTGGCGGTCGGCAAATTGAACGTAAACGTTGGTTATTCCATTATGGTTTTGTGTGGTTTTTGAACGTCGATGGTGTAAAAAACGCGAAGATTTTGAAGGATTCCATAGTGAAATTAACAAATTCTCTACGGCAATCGAAGCCGTAAACCGACGTGAGTTAAATGAAATGACGTCACATTCTAAGAACGTGCACGAGTCACGCAGGCTCTTGTTTGTTAGACATCAGCTGCGTGTATTGAGATCAGAGCGCACTCAAATCCAGATTTCGAAACTGAATTAGCATTTCTCGCGAAGGCCAAAATCCGGCCGAAAATAGCTAGAGACTAGAGTTCAAATTGTTTACGACTTTGAGATTTGTGGTTCGTCATCGATGTATACGCTTTGTACATGCTTTATATAAAAGATATTTTAGTGATAATTATTGCCAAATTTAAGCACATGCAATTTTCCGAGCTAGAGGTCCTGTCAAAACAATGTCTCAAGACCTTTAAAAACCTGAAAACCTCTGGCACCCAGGGTAGTTTTCATTCAACTTTTCATTCGAAATTCCTTCCACTTAAAAACGAATGAAAACTTGAAAGTCAAATGAAAACTTCAATGCCGAATGAATTGTATAATGGCGGCAAAATTATGAGTTTGCTTTGTTTAAAGCCGGTTTTCCACTAGGCGGAATTTTGCGCGCGGAACGGAATTTTTCTGTCTTGTGATTTAGCCGGTTTTCCACTAGGCGGAGTTTTGCCCGCGGAGCGGAATCTTTCTTTGTCTTTTCTAATTAGTTCCACCCGAAAAATCACAAGACAAAGAAAAATTCCGCTCCGCGCGCAAAATTTCGCCTAATGGGAAACCGGCTTCAAGGGGCCTTACAGTCATTTTTTAGTCGAAAAGCCACCTTAAGTGGGGGACTCCACGGAGATTCGTTTGCTGTATTTTACATGCAGTATCCACGCATGCATGCCGGGGTGCGCATGTCAAGTAGTGACAATAACAAAAAATGTAAACAATACTTAAGGTGGCTTTTCGACTAAAAAATTACTGTAGGGCCCCTTTAAATTTGAAGGCTGTGGAACCCAGGGTAACTGGGTAAATGAAAACTTGAATGTCAACTAAACAGTTGAATGAAAAGTTATTCCAAATGAATGAAAATTTGAATGATATTAAAATTTGAATCAGTATAAATTAAAATGAAAACTGCCAAATAACTGACATAAATTAATGAAAAGTTGAACTCACAAAGTTGAATATCAAATGCGAATGACTAAAATATTAAGTGAACAAAGACTGTGAAACGCGTTCGCAGTTTTACCGTAATATATACTTATAAAAATATTAAAACTTTATAGTTATACATTGTAAAATGACGTGAAAACACTAATATAATTCATTTGTTCTTGTTGAAACGATGCAGTAATGATTTTAGCGATGATTTTGGTTAGATCTGATGGCAAGGAATATTAAATATTTAAAGAAAAATATTCCTCTCCACCCCCAATTTTCATGTTTATCCTGTTGCACCCTCCACGCCTTGTCATCCTCCCCCCACTTAGCTAAAGAGCCACTCCCCCCTTGTTATCGTTTCAGTTCAAAACCACTGATTATCCAATACATATATAATCTGAGTGCAAATCCCACCGTGGTCAAGTAATGTTCTGGACGTCATTCGTATCCATTCCTTCAATTTATAAAAATGGACATTTCCATCTCACAGTTATTATTGGTCACATTTATTTCCCCCCGCGATTTTTTGTTCTTATCCCTTGAAATTTTTCTTTTTAATGGAGGAACGATGGGAGCACTCTTGCCACCGCTTGCTCTCTCGTCCTGCTCGCCACCCGCTTCTTCGTTCGCGCGACGAGTCGCTCTCTGGAAGGTTGGGTCCAAGGTTTCAGCGATGTTGTTAAAGTGGCCTGTGTCACATGACTCCAACATTTGTGGCGTCAGAGCGTGAGTTTTCGCGCCACTTTTCGCATGCCATAGTTCTTCGTAGTCTTGTTCAGGACTCGTGCTTCGAACTTGACTCGGTCGCTCGCCCCGTTCCGGCTCTCTCTCTCTTCTGGTATCTACTCTGTGGTCGTTGCCGACCGGGGGGACGTCCTCTCGTCTAAAGTCATCGACAGCTTCGTGATATGTTGGAAGGTTACGTCTTGGTCCAGATGTGAGCTAATGAAAAATGAAATGTCTAATGTTAAAGACCATTATGTAAACAAATCCTTTGTTTACATTTTGAACTGCTATATCTGTAGAATAAGATATACTGAATATCTAACACTTTTCTGGTTCGCAATTGTATTTGAATATAAACTAGAGTACGTTTCAATTCAAAAAGGTTCGAAAGGGGCAAAATTTGGGCAGTGTTTGTATCTGTGAGTCCCCCTTTGTTATGAGCAGAACTGATGCGCAAAACTCGACTTGACATGGTCTTTAATATAACTTTTAATTAATAATTATTCATTATGGTGATTTATTGAAGATAATGCTATATATGCTATATTTAATTTAATTTATTAACTTTGCCAGATTCAAACAACGTTAACACAAAAACTGGCAGGCCGCAATCGCAATAGCTTGCGCCAACTACTGCGATCCTAAATGTTAGACAAATACACTATATACGTACATAAAAAATCAATTACTAACGAATTATCAGATTCAATTTTTCACATTGCGACCCGCAGAACCACTTCCATTTTCGGAAGCTGACTTAGTCAGATGACATATGACGATGCTTGATTGATTGATTGATTGATAATAGTATTTATTCAGGAAAACCAACATCACAAGTTGTGTTTTTCAGAAGGTCCCTGAGAAAACTATACAAATACAAAAGATTATACAATAATAATATGCATGCAGGTTATATGCGATGTATATATATAAACAAGAAACGTTTTAAAATATAGAACTAAGATAATTATATATTACAAAGAAGAGCTATTTGCAAAATGCGTTCGATTATACTATGGAGATTTAAGAAGTGCAGTATGAAAACTAGCTAGATGGTTAATTGACATAATGTTTTTGTTCAAATCATTATACTCCTTACAAGCTTGGTATAGAAGTTTCTGCTTTCCCCAATTGGTACTAGGTTTGCTGAGATGAATGTGATCTCTTTGTCTCGTGTTATGCAGGTGGTTGGCTTTAGGTTTTGATGATAGTTGATGATGATGAATGACGGTTTATGATGATTGTTGGTGCACGCGTGATAAGTATAAAATGATTGATTATAGCTGATCATGATCAATAATGGTTTTGATCATGATCAATAATGGCTGATTGATAATACTAAATTAAATCCTGATAAATAATCTATTGTTAATTCGTGGTTACTTATTATATATATAATAGATGATACAAGATCTGATGACTGCAGTTTGTATTAACATCGAACAAATAAATTCGTTCGTGGAGATATATACATGTACGACTAGCGTATATACTTTTCTATACAAATAGGGACGCCGGAACGATGTGAGGGCAAGGGGGGCAGATTTTCGTGAAAGGGCACTTTTGAATTGGTGTATACTAAGAGATGTTTGCAAAACATCGGGAATTGAACTTCGCCTAATCATGTTTTCTATTTATTAGATGATAGGGGTGTGAGGGGTTCTCCGCCAGGCGATTGTGCTATTCTTGAAGCTCAATGACTGCATTTCTTGTCTTTTCTGAAGCAAATTCGTAAAAGAATTGCACTAATATATCTGACAATTCGCTATTTCACCAAGGCAATCCTTTAAATTGAAAGGGCACCTTTGTTCCCCTCGCTCCTCCTGCTGAAGGGCAACGGGGGCGGCTGCCCCTCCTGTCCCCCAGTTCCGGCGTCCCTGTATATAAATACACGAAATTTGAACTCTCATCTTTCAGAAATTTACCGGAATAGTCCACCGATTTACCCGTTGAACTACAAAATCCACAATAATTGGAGGAGACTGGCATAGAAAATATATTTATCAGCAAAATCCAAAAATAAAAATTTCCTGCGGTGTAAATCAAATATAAAACTTCTTGCATAACCAGATTCCAGAGAAGGTATCGTGTAGGACATTGTGACAAAGACACTTGACGCAGAAGGCAATCTCGACTTGCAAAACGATTTTTGAATTTTAACAATAAAGTCTGGTTTCCATATAGTCCTAACGGTCGTAAAGATTGAGTCACAATTTTTCTCATCAGCCGAAATACAACGTTTTAGAACTAAAAATATGCGGAGTGATTAATTAGAACTAGAGAATATTTATGATTTATATGTGGTTTACAGGTATAACCTATTATAAACTGGCCGCTGAGAAAGATCGTGACTCTATTTATACGACCATTACAACCATATGGAAACCAGGCTTTAGCAAATTATGTAATATGACAAAATTTCCTGCGAGATGTAAAAAAAATTCCAGCGAAGGTCTGTTGTTAACATGAACTCTCGCATATTTAGTAACCTTAATGAATATAGTCCACTACATATAATATAGTCTACTGAATATAATCCACTATTTAACGTGCAGATTTTAATACGTTTTTTTTTCTAGGTCTATATTATCTCACCTCGTCTCTCTCGGCCAAATTTTGTCCACGTCTCAACTGTTAACGTTTTTCTCGTCGTCTTTCTGCCTTAGCCTTAGAGTGTACGTAACTTTCACCTCTGTAAGAAGCAATATATGCAGATGTCTGGTTATGGGTAAATTTTAGGAGGCATGTAGTAAAACACTGACTACCGGAACACCGGAACACCACCGGAACCGGTGGTGTTCCGGTGTTCCGGTAGTCAGTGTTTTACTACATGCCAATTTCAGGACCCATATTAAGCATTAACCACAAATTTGCCGAGATTTACCGAGATTTTGGAGGCATCTCGTTAGATCATATATAACCTATCGAAGGGGAGATGTGAAACTCATTAGAATAACAAAAAAACTCATTATTTATTTATTTATTATAATTAATAAGGCAAGTAGAAAACCGATTTAACAAACATAAATTAGACTAGACACAATTTACATCAACACAGGCAGGGAGCCAGGGACTGACCACAGAGCCAATCTCCAATAATGGGGTGCCATACATAATTCTACGTGAAGTAAATGTACGCGATCAAACAAATTCCCTAGGCTATTTGATTGTCAACAATATGACCTCACTGACAGACTAGGAAGAAACCGAGTTGTGTGGCACTTGACACACATTGACTTGAATGCGTTTGGATTGTATGGGTCGTAAATATATTCTAATAAGGGACAGATCATTAATAATGAGAGGGGGTGGTGGATGATAAATACCAAATATTTAGAAAATTAGCCGCCCCAATCGCAAGACCTTTATTTTCAAGATACTCCTACCTCCCCCCTCCCAGCATTTAACTCGTTACATTTTTGGTGTAAAATAGTTAATGGGACAAGTATTGGTGTAAAGGCGGTTTTCCTGTCCTCGCACGAAGCTCCTCGCTGCTCGCTGCGAGTGCTTGCATCTAATTAAAATGAACTGTTTAACTGTTTTAGCATTTTGATTGGAGCACATGCATCACTCGCAGCGAGCTGCGAGGAGCTTCGTGGGAGGACTGGAAATCCGCCTTTAGACAAATAATTAGAGGACCAGTATTCAAAATGGTTGCTATTTACTCCGACTCCTATGGTGAACTGCATATATACGTAATAAACTATGGAAACTACGATTATAGGAGCTAAAAAAGGTGAAATACTTTGTGGGATATACGATAAAGGCGAGAGATTGAAAATGAATAGGAAAGTATTAAAAAACTGAGGTCCCCCCTTGACACATATTTTTCAATTTGAGGTCGTCCCCAATTCAGGCCGCCCCCCTTTTCTCACCCACTGCCCCCACTCCCATTATTAATGACCGGTCCCTAATTAAGTATATAATGAGTTTTTAAAGTACACTAGTGATCTTGAAGTGTCACGAATACCGCTATAGGGAGAACGTTCCAATAACTGTTCGTATTGATACATTGATATCATCGCTTAGAATACGCTTGTAAAGATAAACCAAGTCTGAAATATTCGTGCCAGTAGCAGACTGAGAGAATACCAATAGCTGTAGTCGTTCCTTGTATGTAGTGACTGTTCTATAAGGGAGGGAAAGGATGTGGGAAAGGATGTACGGAAAGGGTGTTGAACTCGTTCTATTGTCAGTATGTCGGATACAATTTAAGGTGCCCACACCTGGTTGGCATAATTCAGATTTGCTGCGAACCAGTGGGAGGTACAAGACCTTCCGTATGCACATGGATGTTATGCGTGACCGATGCTGTTTGATGAATAAAGCCGAGCATCGAGTTTGCTTTTAATGAGATATTTTCGATTTGTTTCTTGCACATAAATCTTTCGTGAAAACAATCCCGAGGTCTTTTTGGTAAGTTAATGGCTTCAGAGGATTCACCAGAAGTTTGTATTCTGTTGTCATTGGTCGGCGACTTATGTAAACTTCTGACATTATATATTTAATCTTCTGACATTATATTTTGAAGTTTGCATATTTGTTTTCTTTCAGAGAGATAAGATTGAAATAAGTGTAAAGCGGAGCGGTTCCTCTTATTCCGTATAGTTCTAGCTTAGAAATTAGAATTTTATGGTCAACAGTGTCAAAAGCTTTTTTGAGGTCTACAAATAAAAAGCCATTAATCAAACCTTTGTCCATATTAATAAGGCATTGGTTAGCGGAATGCAGGAGTGTAGTTTCGGTTGAGTGAAGAGGACGAAAGCCTGATTGTTATTTCGCTAAAATTGAATTTTGTTTTAGGAAGTCAAATATTTGATTATAAATTATCTTTTCCAAGATTTTTGCAACAACTGATATTATAGAAAAGGCCTACAATTACCACAGTTGGCTCTTTCTCCATATTTATAGATTGGAGTAACTTCTGCAAGTTTCATAGCATCTCGAAAAATACCAGTGTTCAAAGAGTCAGCTAACGGCCTGCCGAAAGTCGTGGGCTTTCTCCGGGTTCTCCGGTTTCCTCCTACGGGGAAAGTTGACAGGATGGGTTAGGATAAACACAGACAAAATAGTCTGGGCTAAGTTTAATGTATAGTTATAATTGGGTAATTAGCGTAAAATACTTGATGCGCATTTAATCATATCTTAATCTTAATTATCCAACTCATGTAAATGAAAACTTCCTATTTTATTTGCTCGGTCAAAATGTCCGTGCAGAATAAGATTTGATCAGCCATTTAGTGTTTTTGTTCGGCAAATAGCCGATTGCTGTCCGTTTAGGGTCCGTTCATTATTTATGGAAGGGGAGAAGGTTGGTAAGAAACTGGGGGGGACCTGAATTTTTTCCAGATGAAAAAAAAAGGGCTATAGTAAACTAAGAGGGATTCTACTCTATAAATTTCAAAAAGGCATTAAGAATTGACGGGGGAATTTCTTGTTGATTTTCAAAATTTAGATTTTAGGTGTTTCGATCTGTTTAAATCTAGTTTATTTCGCTGTATGAAGACGGGCCATGGGTTAAGGTTATGGTAGATTAGGTTTAGGTTTTAGAGGAAAATGGTGGGACAAATGATACATTGCATAATATATATTTCAAATCATACATGGTTGAATCATATTCACGAGGGCAAAACATCATGAGCTACATTAAACAGATTGACCTAATATCTAACTTTATCTGCAACACACACACACACACACCTGTTTCAGAAAAGTTTCTACTTTTAACAAGGGAGGGGGGAGGCAAAAAGTTTGCCTCCAATCTGGAAGAGGGGGGGGGGGCTGGGTTCCCCCCTATATAACTACCGTATATAGCATGCACTTTACAAAAAACATAAAATGCATGTACCATTTTGTTCACAGTGAATGAGTAACACATGTATTTCTGCAGCTATTGCAATTTATATATGCATATATACATATATGCATATATGCATATATACATATATACATATATACATATATACATATATACATATATACATATATACATATATACATATATACATATATACATATATACATATATATATATATATATATATATATATTATATTATATATATATATATAATGATCATGCTTACTGGCAACAGCATCTGATTTCAATCATTTCTTATATATACCAATCTTTTGAAACACCTGACCATGCAACAATATTGTACCGGGTGGCCCAAAAAAAGTACTCCTGTTTGATTCGTAATAACATCTAAACAAGTATAGCTTTTAAAGAGAAATAACTTGCATCAAATAGAGGAAGGACTAACTTAGACTTTGATATATTACAGTTGTATTTCACTTAAAAATTCACGGAGATATTAATCTTTAAATTCGGGAGGATATTTCTGGATGTGTCTGAAATATGCAAAAATCGGCGTATCAAATATTAATCAAGATTTGCCCGACTGAAACACGCACTATTACCAGTAAATAAATGACACTTGACAAATTGTTTATTATGAAACAAAGTATTATTATATCTACAAAATACAAGCAAGATTTATTCGTCCGAAATTCGCGTGTGTTCCTAGCACGAATACGTTTCCTTATTTCATGAGACCACTGCATCGCGAAGGATCGTCATTGGATCGTTCGTAGTTCTGAATTAGGGCATGCTGTCACAACGGAATTGTGAAGCTCTTCTAACTTCTGCAACGTTCTGAAATCTTGTAAAGAACACCCAAACTCTTTTGCCGTTTCTTAATCTTGGCAAGTTCATGGAGTAAACTGAGAATTATATGAAACACAATCAAACCATACAACTCCATAAGACATAACAATTAAGCAACTCCCCAGAGACATGCAACATTTTTGGAACAAAACGTAACAAAATAGTAGCGTTGATACGGTGATGTGCATTTGCAAAAAGCAATATTATTTCCTTCAATAAAGAATATTCATCCTGCTCTAACCGAGAAATAATCTACTCAGTCTGTTTGAACCCATTAAAAACATAAAAAAATTAGGCTATTTAAGAATACGAAAAATTTAAGCGCCTGCCTTCCATGGTCAGTCTTTCATGTACATTTAAGTTTGCAAAGACCTAATATTAAATACTTGCATAATTTCGAACCTTCATATTTCAGGAAACAATGAGCTAAGACTTATATGTAAGATGTCTAAATCTACGCCATATCCCTTACAAACCTTAACGATAATTCGCTGAAATACAAGTTAGCCTAATATGTCATTAAGCAAACAAACGCTGGAGTTAATATTTGATATGCCGATTTTCGCTAATTTTAGACACATTCAAAAATATGCTCCCCATTTTTAACATTAATATATCCGTGAATTTTTAAGTTAAATACAACTGTAATATATCAAAATCTAAGTTAGTCCTTCCTCTATTTAATGCAAGTTATTTCTCTTTAAAAACTTTACTTGTTTAGAAGTTATTACGAATCAAACAGGAGTACTTTTTTTTGGGCCACCCTATATATATATATATATATATATATATATATATATATATATATATATATATATATATATATATATATATATATATATATATATATATATATATATATATTATGCTCAGTGTCATGTATTCAATTTATGCGCAATTTTGACCAAAATTCAACCGGCGACTGCTTTTAAAATATATATTTATATTTATTCCGCTCCTAAATCAACTGACGTCACTTTCCAGAATTTGGAAGGTAAATTCTGATTGGTCGACGTAGCGGAATTCAGTTTGGCGCTCGGGTAAGCAGACGGTAGTAATTCGTCGCTTGGCGTAAGAATAACAACGTCTGTGAGCAGGCTAATGTCTCACATGAGTCACATTGTAAAAATCAATGAGATTCAATGTTTTCATAATATGCATTTTTATTGGGTTTTTTTATTTGTGTATTTAGTCAACTAAATGATCTAGTCTATATGAGTCGTGGAAAGAAAATGAATTATATATTAACTACAGTGAAACACGCAATTTGATTGGTCAACAGCCGTGCAGGATCAGACAATCCTGCACGGGAAATTCTGAACAGAAATTCTTGCACATAATTTTACAAATATACTCGCATTGTAAAGTTTCATTGCACGATACCTTTCGACTTTGAAGTAAGTTTGCAATTATTGAGACGTTGGTTTAGTTGTATGAATAAATTTCTGATCGATACAACGCGTAGCGTTGAAATTCATCAGACCATGGCATGCAAGTACAACATTTCTCGCTTCAAAGTTTATCAAACGCTTCGCAATCTTCACGTATTCAGGTCGAGAATCTTCAAAACTACTTTGGCTCTCTGTTTAGCGGGTTTTCCATTTCAAATTTCGTATATTTTATCGAAAAAGTCTCTGTATTTTCGCTGTATATTTTCGAGAATTTCGATCAAATTCTGTTCACATTTGTTGTTTTCAATAGCGTGGAGTAGCGATTCTCCGATTGCTTAATTCACGATTGTTGTGAGAACTGCACATTTCATCAGTAATTTTAATCAAGTAAACAATCGTTTCACTGTACGTAGTAATTTTATAAAACAATTACCAAATGGTTTTCCCGTGCAGGATAGCATAATCCA